AGACAGACACACAGACACACAGACACACAGACAGATAGACAGACAGACTGAAAGAATTTACGAGATGAGTGTGCCCACTATCGTGTAGAAAAAAAATGACGTTAAATTGTACTTAAAATCTCTGTGTTGAACTTGTGAAATTGAGCTTGCATATGACGTCACAAATTGTATTTGCCTCTGATATGACCTGTAACCACGGGAAAAAAAATCTACCAATTACTTAAAGAACAGCTTTTTCCTCACTCACTGAAATAATGTTTTTCTTTGATAGGGCGTGAGTGAGTGCTGTAACTTGGCGGTTGGGACGTGTGGAAGATCTTAGAGACGCCCCAGGAAAGCTCTCCCGTGCAAGGTTTCTAGATCCTTCAGAGTAATAGACACAGTGATAATGTCAGCCTAACCAGCAGGTTAAGCTAGTTAGGCCAAAATTATGAGGCACGATAAATAACTTTACAATAGAATCTAACTTTTGTTGTGGGCTCTGCTATAATCGCGGATATAATAAAGATTGCCCTTAGAGTTTCAAGGGAGGTAATTAAGTACATTGTGACAAAACAACATCATATGCAAAAATATAAAAGAATTGTCTTTTAACCATTTAAGTCATGCAACACAACAGAGGAAATATTAACGCAAAAGTTTTCTGTGTACAAAAAAAAATCCCTTTACAATTGTTGAAAATTATAAAAGTGTTTACATTTGTCAAAATTTATGTAGCCAAAACCAAATTTATAAACAAACTTCTGATAATTAAAACTAGGACGCTCCGTGAAATAACTGACCTCCCTTACGCTCCAGCTGCTGACACTAGACCTTGTTAGCGGAATGAATAGCAATTAAGGGACAGCAAAAATTTGACAAACATAGCACCTACCTGGATTGTTCCATGGTAGTGTAAATTTGTCATACATACATTATTTTTTAAGGCTTTTAAACTTAAAAGCATTCAATAAATTTCAAAATAGAAGGTTGAAAGATAGGCAATGGTCGTGGTGCGTGAAAGAGGCCTGATTTCTGTTATCAAATCTTGATCTGTCTTTTTTGTATGACAGACAGTGATGTTCGATTTTTTCTAGATTTAGAATCTATTGCCATTTTTGGTAAACCCAGATTTAGTTCATGAAACCCCCTCCCACGCAAAAGCCAACAACCAAAAAAACAAACAAAACCAACAAACAAACAATAACAAAAACAATAACAAAAAGAAGAAAGAATTCAAAACGTATTCGAAAACAAATGCCTGTTTGCTATTGTATATATAGATCTATTATGAGTCATAAAAAAAAAAAGTCGCATTTTTAAAATTTGTGATTCCAGACCTAATTCCTTGGATACCAATATTAAATATTGCTTAGAATTGCCTTTAGCTATGTTCATGAACAAGGTAAAACGTTCTTTGACCTTAAAATCAGGTTTTCAAAATTGCCCAAGTCATAGAAATTTTACAGCTCTTTTGTAAATCTTGCTCAGTAGGCAAAACATTGCAAGATCCCAACACGTATATGTTTTTTAAAACATGCTTAGGGATAAAAATCATGGCACCAGGGATTAAATATTTCACAGTTATACAGAGTATTGGACAGCAGTACTGTATAAAAAAAAATTGGTGCCCGTCCTTGTCTTATATTTGTTTATTAACTCTTTATCTCCATATTTTGCTTAACCCATTTCAAAGTTCTCTCCTGTTACCCAACATTTCACACAGATGAATGGTCCCTAGATATAAATGTATTTCTTTGAGATTTTGCGAGTAAAGACTGCCTTCATATTCCTTTATATAACATGAGACAGAGGAGCTTATGCAAAGCACGATTGAAAGATACAGAGTCAAGTTTAACCCAACATGGTGAGTATTTGAGCATAAATGTCCCTCCTGTTACCGGGGTCTATAACGACTTATTATAATATAGAAATCTGATACAC